CAAAATAAAGTGCATGTGCTGTTACATAGTAAATAATTCCGGCGTGAGCTCTGTCGACAACACAAAAAGAACAACGAAATTTACCCGACACCGTTCGCCGCTTTCAACGCCGAGCTCTCTTAAAGTTGCTCGCGTTAAAATCCTCATCATATCACGATATAAGGTATAAAACGTCTCATATTTTTAAATTACATCCTACTTTTGAAATTATTTTTCTAAGAAAACTAGATTAGATTTAAATTCGAGCACAGAGTGATATTTTACATTACACGAATATTATTAACAACCAATTTTATTTTAGTGCTTTAATTTGACTTTGAGTTATTTTATAGCCCATAGTTATTATAAAGACAGTAATAAAGTAAGTAATAAAGAGTTAACAATACCCAGTGTTTATTTGCCGTTTGCTTTATAGGCTGTAGAATAATAGCGTTGCGGTTGATTTGCTGCTATTCATGATGACTTTTAAATTACTGTTTAGTTTTTGTTTGCACAAGTTTTTGTTACTTTTAATTAATCAACAAAAGTAGCATAAGTGGGTGTTCTCATTTAAATAGAGTAACATGATAATCATTGTAATTTAGGGGACATGGAATTTTGGCACTATTAACATGTTTCTCCTCAAATTAAAAAAAAAAAGTTTACTTACTTCATATCTGCCGACGCCATTGCTCACTGTAACAAGGTAAATATGAAAATGCATTTTTAAAATAATGGGCATAGAAAAGCGCAGCGATAACAATTACAGAAATAGCGGCTTAGATTTAAAATAGTAATAATCCAATACTGATAAAGAACCATTACGTAGACAGTAATTTGATAGTGGAACAGGCACTATGAATATCAAACTAAGCCGGGTAACACATGGCACAGTGCCTCATAAAATGTAGCGACGTCCGATTTGTGGGAATAGGGTATAAAAATTTCAAAGAGCCGGTATACGAGTTGCCTGTCCACGGCTGCATCACTAGTCCACATAATACATGCAAATTGGACCACTTTACTGACTGGTGTGCCTAAGCTCACTCGCTCTTGCACTTTTATGTAAAACCGAAGCTATTATCCATGTAAATATTGTTAAACGCTACTCCCTTCACTCGTATTTCCCAGTATTATGTGACGTTTCCTTTACTGAGTCCAATTCTAAAAGTAATGTTATAAGACAAATAGCTTTAATTAAATTAAATCCTTTTAAGCTATTTTGAATTAAAGCCTGTTATTGTGAGAAATTAAATTTCATTGTTAGAAGTTTGCCACAATAGAAAATAACGATGGCAGATCGCGGCTTTTCCGCGTGCGACTGAATTGCGACCATTTGGCACAATAATGAGCTTTTGTATTTTGAATTATGTAATGAGTATATCTTCTCATATTCAAAAACAATACCTAACAGAAAAAAGCATACTCAAAAACCAGTCGTTAAACAATCCTTAGTGACTGTTGCACATTGAGTGATTCTTGGTGCGGCACTAATACTTTAAAAGAAATGCGAAAGATTGGATGGATCGATGTTTCTTACAAGGTATCTCCAGAATAGTTGCATTGATGTGGCTGAAATGTGGCATAGATGTAGGACATAGCCTGTTAGAACATAAAAGCTACTATTTGATTTTTTATTTAATATCGCGTGGACGGAGTCGCGGGCGACAGCTAGTGAGTACATAAAACTAAAATGAGGTGACCGTGGTGAGAGTAGTAGATATAGTTCCCGTGTCAAAGGTGCCGACGCCGAGATTAGCCGCGTCCCGTCACGTCGACTTCATCAATTATCCCTCGCTCTATCTCCTAGGGCTGCGTAAGACCCGCTACTACTCGGCCATGATACTGAAGACTCTCTCTTATATTCCTGACTCAAGGAAAATTTCCAATAAAAGATATTCTAAGACAATCTATAAAGTTCTGTGCAGACTTTCGAAATTTCTTTACAATTAAGCTATTAAGAAACTAAATGACTCTACATCTAACTGAAACTTTTCTATTTATGATTAAGTCTATGTAAATAAAAATTTCTATCTTCAGTTATAAATTAGATGTGATTTTTAATGTGTTCGTATCCAAGCCTTTGATTAAACTTTCTATGGTTGTTTTGCCCTAAATTATTTGATAGTAAAAATTATTGCATTATAAAAATAATATTATTGAGGCGTTTAGAAGACAAATCAAATAATTATTAGTAAGAGTATCACTTAAGTAACACTAAGGTCCTAACAAGAACATACATTAGTTTAATAAATAAATATTGTTGAATTAAATATAAAAATTTGCGCATATTTGATCTCGAAGCTCATAAATAATTCTCGTACGACACGATGGGATCCAACACAATTTAAGTCTTATTTTTTTGTGAGTGTATTAAGATAAAAGCTTATTTCGAGATGCCGACACAGACGTGTATACTGCTAATCCTACTTTCACCAATGCTTAAAAGAGAAAAATAATCCTTAAGTAGTTGAAAGAATTCTTACCAACAAAGTAACTTCATTAGTTCTAAGAATAACTCTCTAAAGCCACCAGACACTGTATTGCAGATGAAATATACAAATGATATTTGAAATATGTATACAAATGATATTTGAAATATGCATTGTCTTAAAGAGGGTAATGAACTCTGATCTTGTAAGGGAATGAAATAGAATAACTATACAATTGATGTCTGGTCGTATAAATGAAGTTAGCAAATGAAAAGCTTATGCTGCGACATCTTACTATTCATATAACTCCTGGGCCTTTGTGATTTCAGACGAATCAACGACAAAGTTTGTTCCAGGGCTTGTTATGTTCATAATCGGAGGAAACTTTAATGCAGTAGGGTTTAGAAAGTGCAATCCATGTTTTTCTTACGTAAAAACGATTCTTACCTTAGGCAAAGATAACAAGTCACGGCTATACCATTCGCGCCGAACGTATAAATAATTTGAGTACTTTGAATAGACCGTAAATATAATTTGGACTATACGAGTTTTACTGATGTTAGTTCAACTTTTAACATGTCTGTAAAACGGTGCGCTATAAAATTGAGTTACTAGTCACATTGTATTAAAACGAAATCTTATAAAAGAATTCAAATTGGATTGACTTTGCAAGATAAAAAAAAATAAACTCAAAAAGATATACTCTAAAACTTCTAAATTTTTTTCAAAAACTTCGAGATGTTTATCGTTAGAATCTTTCTAGCTATTGCTGTGGCCGTTAATGCATATTTGTATTTAGCTTAGTTAGTAAAACTAATTTGAAATAAATAGTAATATCGTGTACAAACTAACTTTATAAAAAAAAATACTGGGATCATTCAAAAGATTCGTAATAGTATTTTAAAGTGATGTAAATTCTGTTTAATTTAACTTTATATTAAATAAATGTAGGTGTTAGTGGTGCGAGCGGCGGCGGTGATCATTGTTGCATTGTTTATCGCTGCACGATTATGGCGGGATTGGCGACCGACCCGTCGCTGAAAACAAATTGAATGTATTAAGCTCGGCACAACTTTATACTCTGTTTATATTGCACACTTTACGACTCGATGTGCGTGTTATTTTGTTTTACGCTGGTATTATTGTACTCGACTAGCAGTAAAAGGAGACCAAGCCCAACCCCCTGCTGATACTACCATCCACTTTGATGGTTTGAAGCCAAGAAGAACACGAATATTATAATTATATGTAAATAAATAAATGGTAATTAAATTTTTCATAGTTTAAATAATAACAGTTATTTTATATAATTTGCAAAAAGTTGTAAATTAGATAATAAACATTCAAGGCTACCTAAAGTTAAGAACGTTCAGAGTCGTAGCCGTCGCATATAAAATTGAATATTTTAGCGAAGACATATATTAAGGAGGCGATGGGCCGAGGCCGCGGCGAGCTGAGTGCCAGGACCTTTCTTCTTTAATGGACGCCCAAACCTTCAACCGCTTTTATTCGCGGAATCTTTCAGAAAATAAATGAATCTACGCCGTATGTAAATCGAATGCCGTCGAAAGTTTTTATTGAAAAACTTCAAGCACTGATGAAAATGGGGCCGCGATGTTAAAGATCTTTCCCCTCCCGAATGCCCGACAGATGCTATACCGACTTTCAAAAGTTCATACTTTTTAATTTTGTACAAAGTTAAACCGTTATGTTACGACTATTTAAATTATATCCTAAATTATTTATTAATTCTTGCTGGAAGAATATTAATGCACCTCATTTTAATCAAGAAGTGCCTATATAATATTTTTTTTTACACAAGCAGAATACTAAGATTAATTTATTATCGAAAGTCAAGTGCGACTTGAATCGCTAAGTGCAGATTGTTTAGTCAGTTATCTTTGAGATGAATGGAGTGCTCAATCTCGCTGCGAAAGGCGATTAAGTAAATGTTTATCAACGTAGCCATAAATTTGTTCTAATAGATAATTCATGTTTTTGTATTCAAATAAATCGTACGAAATTGTTTCACCGTGGACGTGGTAACGACTTGTTTAGAATTCCGTCAGTAATTTACGACATAGTAACGTGACTCATACGATTCTTATTATTAAACATATATAAAGAAAACTAAACTGCTTACTTCCTTTCGCGTGCTTACAAACATAAAACTTTCTCGTGCGTATCCTAACGAAAACATAAATTAGGTAAATTTACTACTTTTTATACGAAGCATCCCCTTCATTACAATATGTTCGTAACGACACCGAGGGTCACTGCCTAGTCAAATCTCCCCTCGGCGAAGGGCCACGAATCGGTCGAATTATCAAAACTTTTTAATTTACAGCGTTTCCTTAAACGAATAGAGCGACGTCAGCTTCTTTATCGTGCAGCTCGAGTCGGAGTCGTATCGGCAACGCGCCGGCCTCGTCTTCCTGAAGGATTCATATCAGGGATAAAAGCGAAGTGAAGTCTGTCCATCGTGTCTTGATGCATGCGAGCCGGTCGCGAATCGCGGGGCGGTCCTTTGAGGTCGAGTCGAGTCGAGCGGCTCGGGTTCAGTTTCAGTTCAGTCTCTCTCGCTGCGATGTCGGCGGCGCACGTCGCTCCGCATGCTATCCGACAACTCTACGTAGAGACGATCGCGCCGATACTTTTCTCCCGGCTAATAAATCACGCGAGCCGAACAAAGTAAACCCTCACGAACAGATTATAACTCGATACGAGATAACGAGCTTGCGGTACAGCCGCCGTGATTAATCACTGAAAGTCGACTAGAACGATACCAACGGAAGCGTAATCTCGGCTAGACTCGATTTAGGTGCGTAACGTAAACAGATAAACATTGTTGAAGTTCTCGGGAATTGTTTGTTGATTTAACGCACACAATAGTTGGTTTGATTTAGTAGTCGTGGAACGGTGATGTCGCTCGCCGGTTCCGAGTACCGGGCTCGTGTATTAGGTGAATGTGCGTAAGTCAGACCGGCACTGGGCAGGATGGGTGGCGGGCAGTGGATCGGGGGAGTGTTGCTGGCCATGGCATGCTCGGTGGCGGCGGACTCGTGGACTGCTTTCCAGGAGCAGCCGTGTTGTCGCCCGGTATCGCATCACCGAATCCGGCATCATAGAGGTAAGTGTACATTGCTATAAACATCCGGTACCGAGTCTACTATAAACAAATTTATACCTATTGCATGAGCAAAATGTGGGGCTGCTTATCTTATCAACGGGTAAATAAAGATCTATGATAGGCTGTAGTTATATTGGCGCACTAAAATGTTCTGTATACTACGAGTACTAATACTGGTATACTGGTCCTATCTGTCCAGGAAATAATTATAATAGTACTGGTAGCATTTAAAGCGGTAGAGTGTCTGCCACAATCGTCATTGACTTCAATTGTTTAATTCAAGTATTGGTGGACCTTAATTAAAGTTTTTAACTTCATAATCTTGTTAGTAATTAAAAATTAAGTTTATTATATTGTTGTTGTCTAGTTTTAAACAGTGACTTATTTCCAAAAACAAAGATAAGTATGATAATTTTTGCGCTACAAATATGCGATAAAATCGCCCTCTATCACACTTCAGTTATCATAGGCTTTGTTTAATGAACGTACCGTATTATCTATCGTAATTACGTTAATGCATACAATGTCTCCTTTTTTACAAATAACAATAAAATGCTTTAAAGGGAAAAAATTAAATCTCATATTTATATTATACTGATTTAACAGCTGTAGTATTTCCTTTCGCTGCGTTTCCAAAAACAATTTCAAACATAAAGACTGTTTATCCGACTTCAATTGATGCATTATTGTGGAGTTCGTTCGGCGGATTATCGTGTCTTTAGCTTTAACTGATTTCTACCAAATTAATTATATTATTAACCGATTATTTCTTTAAAAAAAACTCAACAATTGTAAAGAAGCTTAATTTTGATCTGTCACCAATATTATTATGTTAGCAATCATTTATGTAATAGTTTACCTTTAAAAACTAATGAGGACTTCATTTCTAATAAAATTTGGTGGTTATTTTATAATCAATTATAATATGGATCAATGTAGTCTGAGTTAAATAAAAATTATTATCATTATTAACAACGAAAAAAAAATATCTGCAGTTTGCTATCATGTCTCTATAAGCTTAGAACAGACCAGCAATACCTCAGACTATTTAACAAAAGAAGATCCATTCTATCCATCCATTGTTCATCATTAAAAGTTGAAATTGCAATTCTTATAATACTATTATAAATGTGTTATTCCATATCTTTTTAGCTTTATCTTTTATATATTAAATTGATCACATATCCATATTGATCATGTTACATTCAAGTGATAAATGAGCGCCTGAACTCCTAACTATTTCATCGTCGTTTGGCTCAGGTAAGTAACGATTAACGGAATTAAAGACAACTCAAGCCGATGCTAAACTACCACGGCTCTAAATGACGGTAAATAATTTAGTATCGTGTAGGACGTAGGTGTAGGCAGAAGCAATCAGTAACTTTATAATTTCAGTTAATTAAAACCGACGTTAGTAGGTAACTACGCTTCTATCACGTCATGCGCGAGCATTTATATCTACTTCTGTAATTATTGCTATTTTATTTAATTAAGAATTATTGCTATTTTGTTTCTACTGTTTTGGAATTAAATGATATTTTTTGTGTGTACGTATACATTTCCAAAGTTATAGTAAATGTTAATTAAAACAGTAACTGTAAATTATCAGTATAAAATATATCAGTATGAATTCAATATTTTACCCAATGCTCGTAATAGCTTTGAGATAAAATCATTAAAGCCTAGCTTTAAATGTTTACTTTACTACTTATCCTTGACATTTTTTATTTCGTTTAAAATCAGCAGTTACTTTTTATTTCGTTGATTTTTATACTTGAAATCTTTGGTACTTAGTTATTTATAAGTACGTAATTTAAATAGAAACAGCATATGAATATTTGTGTTTAAATATTTTAAGAATACAAAAACTATATTATATTTGCAATAACAATAAAAATTTATAGCAATGCATGCAGCAATCGTGGCGATCGTTCTTTTAGATTAAAACTTCTTCCGTTGCTTTTGCAACTGTGACGTCATTTCCTTTTGTTCACGTCTGTATTCTCATGAACGTGTATATCATTAAATAAATTTTAAGATTGTAATTAAGATCGGATGTTTTAAAATTATCCAAACCTGTTTCTGATACTTTTTTACGATGCTGTATAGCTATGATCAGTAAAAATGGTTGTCAGATAAATAGTTCGAGATTGTGCTTGTTTATTAACTTTATTGTTTTAACTAGCTGTCGCCCGCGACTCCGTCTGCGCGGAATGATAAATAAACTTAATTAGTAGCCTATGTGTTCTTCCAAAATATGTTCTACATCTTTGTCAAATTTCAGCGAGATCCATGCAGCCGTCCTGGACATACCTTCAAACAAACATCTATCAATCCATCCAAACATTCGCATTTATAATTTTTGTAATATTGTACAATGAGATAATAAGATTAAAAGCATTTTATATCAAATTGAGATATTCTGAAAGTCTAAAAGCATGCACTAGTATATTATTGAAATCAATTCCATCGTATGATCTAACTGAATATTATTTTAGACAATGATAACTAATTTTTGTCAACTTAGCTTGATCTTGTTTTGTTTTTACATGACAAAAAAGCGCGATAACAGATGAAATATTCTTGACAAAGGAAAGTAATCGTTACGAAAAAGAAATGTTTCTAAGGGCATTGTCGTGCCTGTATAAATATTTAATTTTCGGCAATAAAATTCAAATTGGTGAATTCCTTTCTGCCGTCCACACCGTAGGAACGACGACAATTTGACGTCATTAGCACAGAACAGGGAGACCGCACTGACGCGTCGACGAAAAAAGCGCCATATTAAATAAAAAATAGATAATGAAATATTTATCATAATAATAGCCATTTAGTGTGACATTGAAGGAAAAATTAGGCATAATTATGTCGAAAAGAATGAGTTACTGTTGAATGGAGTATTAGTTACGAATGATCGCTCAAGCATTAATAGCATATATGTGTATCCTTCCATTATAGTCATTTGTTTGTCGAACAAATTTAATATCCAAAAATATTAAGTTCCCGCGCGCATGATAGTTGACGCGTTAATTTTTATCGTAACAAGACTAATAGGACTTTAGCGTATATAACACAAATTTTATTTCAGTAAGAAATCGCATTGAATTAAAAGTTCATTTTCGACACAAAGAATGGGCATGTGTGCAATTCACTTAAGAATAAGGAATTGTAAACCTGACTGCGAGGAGTCAGTCGAGCAAAAAAAAAAAAACGTTTTGAATGTGAGATGGGTCTCGGATGGGAAGTGTAAGGGCAGCGGGAGACGGGGAGGTGAAGGAGGGGGGAGATGGATCACTGCAAACCGGCTCCGCGTGCCCTCGCGCAGGTAACTGACTCCCGACTCCGGTTCACTTGGCTAAATTAAGCCATTAAAGATGCTAGTTTAATCGAACTTTAAGTTACGCTCCACAGCTCTATTATGATGCCCTCGCAGCGTCGTTATGTCGGTATTTTAATAATGGAAACATCCATTAACTAGATGTTTGCATGAAGTCATTATGTTTTTCTTACGAAAGTTCCATTTATCATATTGATGCTGTTTTAAATATAGGATATAAAAGGCAATCGTTGTAGTGTGATTCAATCACTGTACTTATGCGTCCATTAATAGTTTCACACTAGTTTTTTTTTTTATTACTTTAATTTTTTTTGGACGGTACGATTCAAAGAGCATTGGAAATTGACAGATGGCAATAATTGGATATATAAAAGATTACACTATTAGTTTACCTATTGCCGACAATCGTTGCTAACTAAATATTTTGGAATTTATGGAATTAAACGTGGAGTTTATATATATATATATATATATGTATATATACTAGATAGGTATATATACTAGATAGGTATATATACTATGTATATATACTAGATATATATATATATATATATATATATATATATACACATCTAGTTAAATAAATTTGTCTTCACATTACATAAACTTTAATATGTGTGATAAGAATCATAAAAACGATAACTATGATACACTATTGTTCTATTCTATCTAAATAAAACAATTAAAATAAAAAAAAACAATTTTAATTTACCAAAATATTTTAAATTATCATGAAGCTCAATTATTTTAATCCCAACAAAATTATATCAGGCGAGATTATTACAATATATAAAATACAGTCATGATTAACTAAAAAGAGCCGGGCTTATTTTTATCCCTTGGGAGCTCTGAAATTTATCCCGATAAATCGGTTTGCTATAAGCTTATATTTAAATAACATTGAATACGAAGCGTATTTCTCTCCATTAGGTTATTAAATAGGACAGACTTTATGAAGCAAAAAAAAAATATGTTCGAGATTTAACATGTGTATTAAAATAAAATGCAAAGGTACGTTTGAAGCAGCGACTTATTTAGTTTTAAAAGCTTAGCTCTAAGCCTTTGATCTTTTATAGTGTCTAGCTCTATGATAGTTGTATTTAAAAGGAAAAAAATGTGTAATCTCCATAAAATACACCCCACATGTGAGGATGTTTACTAATTTGTATATTACATTAGTAAAGAAGTGTTGTCAATAAGATTTACAATCGCTAAATCATATCAAAAATATGAAGTTCTTTATCATCATCCTGTCCTTGTACCTACGGAAGGTCGGTACAGTATGTATTCACTCCATACATCTTTCATATAAGTCATAGCTGAATCCAACCCCTTCTTACCCATATCATTTCGAACAATCAATCCATAATTACTTTGTTCTTCCTCTACTTTTTTAGCCATCCACATTCAACCTTATTACTTCTTTGGTTATGTGATCATAAAAAAATAAGACCAAGAATAAGATAAATAAAGAATTTCACGTTCTTGTCAACAAATATAAACATTCATATCGAAATCTTTGTATAGTCATTTTAAGTTAATATACCGTTGCCGTACATATGTATATGTCTACGATATTATATCCAGCCGTTTAGCTATTAATATTATATAGGTTTCTATAACAGGAACATTGCGTTACTGTTATGATATTCAATTTCATTAC